ATCAGACCCTTTAGGGCCACATGCGAGGCAAGCACCCTGTCTCCCCAAGAGAGGAATTGAGGGGCTAGACAGTGGGGTGGGTGACTGAGCTGGGGTCAGTCATGAAATCCTGTCACCGCAAATGATTCCTGAGCACAGAACCAGGAGTAAGCCTTGAGCGCTATTGAGTGTGGATCCCCCCCTCTGCCCCCCCCCAAAAAAAATTGCAGTGGCAGGAAGGACAAAGGATGGGGTGACAGACTGGCAGGATGGAGCTTGGTTTTTGTTTAGGGCCACATTCAGTGGTGCTCAGGGAGAACTCCTGGTGGGGACTCCTGAGACCCTTTGGGATGCTAGGGATTAAATTCAGGTTGAGTGCATGCATGGCAAGTACCCTCCCTGCTATACTATTACTCCAGCCCCATACTTTGTGGGTTTTTTTTTTAGGCGATGATATTGTTTTTTGGGGGGATCTTTAGGGAAGAGGGGAAGCCACACCCAGCTGTGCTCAGGGTGACCCCCTGCAGGGTTATGGGTAGCCTATGGGGTGCTAGGGATCAAACTCTCAGCTGAATACGAAGCAAATACCCTGTCCACGTACTGTTGCTCCAGCCTTGGGGTTTTAATATTGAACCACACCCAGCAGTGCGCAGTGCAGGGTTACTCCTGGCTTGGTGCTCGAGGCTTGATTCCCTTCCATGGTTTTAAGGAGGGGTGTTGATGGTACTGGGGATCAAACCCGGGTCTTTTGCAAGCAAAACCGGTGCTGACCCTTGGTTTGTTTGCTTTGGAGGTGATTCTTTCTTTTTTATTTTTTTGGAGGTGATTATTTCTGTATATCACTATGGAACCATACTTGGCCATGCTGAAGGGTTACTCCTAGCTCTGAGTTCAGGGGTTACTCCTGGCTCTGTATTCAGGAATAATGCCTGGCAGGGCTCTGGGGACACTTAGGGGGTGCCAGGAACCCAACCCAGGTCAGCTGCGTGCAAGGCAAGTGCCCTCCCAGCTGTGCCATCTCTCTAGCTCTCTGGAAAGCAACAGTTTGGAGGGAGAAATACAGATGAAGGCCAGGACTGTGCTGGGTGCGGGTGGGAGGTGAGGGGTGGCTTTGCTCCTGCCTGGTTGAGGCAGCAGTTACCCAGAAGCACCCGGGACGCCACACCCTAGCCTCTTCCGCTGCCCCAGCTGAGACTTCCTGTTGGGGCTTCTTCTGGGGCCTTTGGAGGAGGAGGGCCACATGGGGTGAGCATCGCACCCTGACAGGTACAGGCCCGGGACCAGAGGCAACTGGCCCAGGGTGGATCTAGGAAGCCAGTGCTGAAGAGGGAGATGAAAATATGTGTCACACACACAACACACTGACACTTTTTTTTTCTTTTTGGGTCACACCCAGCGATGCACTCCTGGCTCTGCACTCAGGAATTACTCCTGGCGGTGCTCAAGGGACCATATGGGATGCTGGGAATCGAACCTGGGTCGGCCGCGTGCAAGGCAACACCCTACCCGCTGTGCTATCACTCCAGCCCCCCACACTGACACTGACACATAGCTCTGAATACTATGGCCCAAACAGAATGGGGCTTGAGTGCCAGAGACATAGGACATGGGTTAACGCATGCAGCTGACTCCGTTTCTATCCCTGAGACTGCATAGGCTCCCCTGAGACCCGCCAGGTGTAACTCCAGAACACAGAACCAGGAGTAAGGCCCGAGCACTTCCCTGGGTGTAGCACTCCCTCACACACACACACACAAAAAAAAAAAAAAGAAAGAAAGCAGTTGGAGTTTGAACTTGGCTTTTTCAGACTTGGACCCCTACATTGTTTTTGGGTTTTGTTTTGTTTGTTTGGGGGCCACACCCAGCAGTGCTCAGGGCTTCCTCTTGGCTCTAAGCTCAGGGATCACTCCTGGCAGGCTCGAAGGGATCACATGGGGTGCTGTGGGTCAAAACTGGCCCTCCCTGCTGTCCTATCACTCCAGCCCTACATTTTTGTTGTTGTTATTTTCATTTGTGGCCACACCCGGTGATGCTCAGGGGTTACCCCTGGCTCTGCACTCATGGATCACTCCTGACAGTACTCAGGGAGCCCTATGGGATGCTGGGGATTGAACCTGGGTTGGCCACATGGAAGACAGGTGACCTCCGCACTGTGCTATCTCTCTGGTCCCTACATTTTTTTTTCTTATTGGGGGGTCCCTCCTTGTGGTAGTGAAGACAGAGTTGGGGCTCGAACCCAGGCCTCCTGCATGCAAAACATAGGCGCCAGCCCTTAGAGCTCTCTTTCCAACACCTCTTCTTTTTCTTTCTTGGCGGGGTTTGGGGCCATACTCACCCCCCCACCAATGTGAGGGGCCAAAGATTATTCCTGATCCTGGGGCAGGGTTAGTTCTCATGGGGCTTGGCAGAACCTGGGACGTGCTGGGAATTAAACCAGAGTTTTCAGCAGGCAAGGCAAAAGCCGTAACCCCTGCACTATCTCCCTGCCCCCCCCTCCGACTTTTATTTTCACGTTTTTTGATTTTAGGGCCCCACCTGGTGGTGCTCAGACCTTATTCCTGTGCTCAGAGATCACTCCTGGAGGGGCTTGGCAGACCCTATGCAGTGCTGGGGATTTGAACCTGGGTCAGCTGTGTGCAAGGCCAGTATTTCAACCCTTGTGCTATCTCCCAGGGGTTATTTAAAAAATATGGGGCTGGAAAGAGGGGAGGGCACTTGCTTTATATGCGGCCGAACCAGGTTGGATCCCTGGCATCCCACAGGGTTCCCTGAGCACCACCAGGAGTAAGTCATGAATGCAGAGGTAAGAGTAACCCCAAGTATCACCAGTTGTGGCCCAAAACCCAAAAGAAAAGATATATTTTATACGTATATAGTTTATATATATTTAAATATATATAGTTTTTTTTTATTTGAGGGCCACATTTGGTGATGTTCAGGGGTTACTCCTGGCTCTACATTCAGAAGTTACTCCTGGTGGTGCTCAGGGAACCATATGAGATGCCGGGGATTCAACCCAGGTTGGCCATGTGCAAAGAAAGTGTCCTCCCAACTTTACTATTAGTCTGACCCCAAAGTTCTTTTTTTTTTTTTTTTTTTTTGCTTTTTGGGTCATACCCGGCGATGCACAGGAGTTACTCCTGGCTCATGGACTCAGGAGTTACTCCTGGCGGTGGTCGGGGGACCATATGAGATGCTGGGAATCGAACCCAGGTCAGCTGCTTGCAAGGGAAACGCCCTACCCGCTGTGCTATTGCTCCAGTCCCCCCCTCGAGTTCTTTTAGTTATTTATTTTTTATGCTGGGGGTCCCTGTGATGCCAGGGATCAAACTCAAGCCTCTTCCATGCAAAGCACATGACCAGCCTTCCAATTTCTCCTGTTTTAGAGTCCATGTTTTGTTTTATATTTGGGGGCAACATCTGCCAGTGTTCAGGGCTGACTCCCGGCTCTGTGCTCAGGGATCACTCCTGGTGAAGTTTGGGGGACCCTATGGGATGCTGGGGATTGAACCCAGGTTGACCAGGGGCAAAGCAGGTGTCCTCCCATTGTACTTTCTTTGGCCTATATTTTTTTACTGTGTCTATATTTTTTTACTGTGTTGCTCCTGGTGAAATGGGGGTTCATGGGGAGGAGTGGGGTCCAGACCCCGGAAGCAGAAACTAGGCTGCAATCCTGGTTCTGCATGGGGCTGGGAGTTGGCTCAGCGGGTTGCAGCACAGGCTTTGCATGCAGAGCCTGTGGACTGGATCCTGGGCACTGCACAGTCTCCTGAGCATTACCCAGTATATGGGGCAGGAGAGATAGGCCAGCTGGGAGAGTGCTTGCCCTGCACACAGCCCTTCTGGGTTCCATCCTTGGAACCCCATAGGGTCCCCCAAGCCCTGCCAGAAGTGATTTCTGAGTGCAGAGCCAGGAGTAAGCCCTGAGCATCGACAGGTGTGGTCCCAAAACAAAGAAACAAAAAGCATCACTCAATATAGCAGCTGACCCCGAGCACCACTGGGTAGGCATCCCCCAGCAAAAAAGAAAAAAGGGGGGGTGACTACAGAGATAGTAAAGCAGGTAGGGTGCTTGCCTTGCACACAGCTAACCTGGGTTCAATCCCCGCCATTCCATAGGGTCCCCCAAGCCCCACCAAAAGTGGCCTCTGAGTGCAGAACCAAGTCAGCTCAGAGCACCTCCGGATGTGCCCCCCCCCCAAACAAAATAAACAGAATGGGGAAGAAATTCTGCTGGACACTGCCTTGCTAGAAATGAGCAAGCCGGCTTCTAGAAGGATTCAAAGCTGGACATAGAAACGTCAGCAATGCTTATAAGGAACATTGGGGGGATGAGGGGGTGCCTATCAGATAACATCCAGATGCTGAAGAAGTTTGGCCTTGGATTAGGTTTCAGATCTTGCTCCTTTTTTTCTTTTGTCCTTTCTCTATTTAAATTCTTTTTTTTGCTCTTCAGCAATAAATTCATTTATTCAGCAAAAAATAAATTATGTGTGCTGAGAGGTTACAGGAGTCTGTCTTCATCCTCCACTTCCCTCCCGGGAGAGGGGCACCAATTTGTCCTTTCTGTGAACTTGTGCCAGAGTCTCAGCGGGATTTGGGGGTGGGGGGGCGCGGGAAGCCAGCCCGTGCAACCCCCCCACCCCCGACAGCCCATCAAGGAAGGAGAGAGCCCTTGAACTCTGGCAAGAACACAGCTGGCTCACGCTATGTCGAGCTGCAGCCTGGCAGAGGGTTGGGAACCACCACTTTCTGCCTCAGTTTCCTTTGTTAGTTGTTTGCTCTTGGGCCACACCCGGCTGTGCTCAGGGCTTACTCCGGGTTCTGCGCTCAGGGATCACGTCTGGCAGATTTGGGGAAGCCTGGGATCGAACCCGCGACAGTCGCGTGCAAGGCAAACACCCTCCCAGCTGTACGACGACTCTGGCTTGTCAGTTTCCTCTTCTGCTGGCCAAGGTGTGCGCATGCGTTAGGCGCGCTTCTCTCCTGCTTACAGGAAGCAGTCACTGGGAAACTCCGCGCGCATCTCTGTGAGCCCGCAGGAAGGTGATGCAGCTGCTCTTAGTCCTCTTGGGGCTCCTGCTGGGGGCCCCGAGGGCTCCAGCTTTGTCCCTGGAGACGTCGGAGGAGACAGAGCTGGGTATGGAGTCTTGGGGTGGGAGCAGGAGACCTGGGTGGAGGGTACCCAGCGGGAGCCGCTGGTTGAGCTCAGCCTGGAGGAACGGGGCAGCCGAGAAGGACCCTAAGTTTCAGTGTCTGACTCGCAGTGTGTGGCCTCCTCGCTTTGTGCCCGCGCGAGAGAACCAGCCTTGCAGGGCGCGGGACCCTAGGCTGGGCTGCAGCGTTGGTGGTGAGCCTCTGCGTGTGTGTGTGCGTGACTGTGATTGAGTGTGTTCTGTGCACCAGACGTGTCTCGGCCCGAGAAAGCTCAGTAGGCTGTGCACAGGCTTTGCATGCAGGATGTCTGCATGGAGCACAGAGCCAAGAGTAGCTCCTGAGCATTGCCATGTGTGACCCGCAAACAAAAGGCAAGAGAAGAGTGTGGCTTGAAGGGTCAGGTAGGTGCTTGCCTTGCATGTGGCCAACCTCGGTTCAATCTCTGACATCCCATATTGTCCCCAAGCACTGCTGGGAGTAATTCCTGAGTATAGAACCAGGAGCAAGCCCTGAGTGCTGGGTGTGACCCAAAAGTCAAACCAAAAATCGAACAACAACAACAACAAAAAACGTGGCTTGGAGGCTGAAGGGATAGGACATCAGGTTTGGACGTTTGCCTTGCACATAGCTGACTGAGGCTTTATCCGCGGCACCACATGTGGCCCCCTAAGCAACTACCAGGTGTGCCCGAAAAACAAAGAGAGATTGATTCCATTATTGTGTGACTGAAACTCAAAGGTGAAAGTTTTGTAACTGTTGCTCGCAGTGATTCACTGTTCAAAAAATAAATACAAAATATATTTTAAAGTTTTCTAACCAGGGGCTGGAGTGATAGCACAGCGGGTAGGGCGTTTGCCTTGCACAGGGTCGGTCGACCTGGGTTTGATTTCCAACATCCCATATGGTCCTCTGAGCACTGCCAGGAGTAATTCCTGAGTGCAGAGCCAGGAGTAACCCCTGTGCATCGCCGGGTGTGACCCAAAAAGAAAAAAAAATAAAGTTTTCTAGTCATTAAAAAAGAAAGAGAAGAAAGAAAGAAAGAAAGAAAACAAAGAGAAAGAGAAAGGAAGGGAACTGGAGCAATAGCACAGCAGGTAGGGCGTTTTCCTTGCACGCTGCGGACCGCGTTCGATTCTCAAAGTCCCATAGGGTCCCCCGAGCACCGCCAGGAGTAATTCCTGAGTACAGAGCCAGGATTAACCCCTGTGCATCATCAGGTGTGACCCCCCAAAAAAGAGAGAGAGGAAGGAAGGAAGGGATGGAGGGAGGGAGGAAGGAAAAAAAGTGACATTAATAGCACAGTGGGTTTGGCATTTGCCTTGCAGGCAGTGCGGCTGATGGTCCTTGGAGCACCACCGGGTGTGTTCCAAAAGTCAAAAAAAGAACGTGACTTGGGAAGCCTGACTGTAGCATCGCATTGTGTGTATTGCCCCGAGTGTGCGTGTGTCCTGTGTGAGCCCTGTGGCATGATGGCATGGGGTTGACATGAGTGGCTCGGTCCCGCATGTGTCAGGAATCGCTCATGTGTGCTGTGTGCTGCATGCTGTCTGCAGGCCCAGGGAGCGCGGGGGACCTTCTGCTCCTTACCCCTCCCCACCCCCTCACAGAGCCCTGCCTGACCCCCAGCCCCGTGCAGCAAGAACAGGAGCTGAGCGTGGCTCTCGGGCGCCCCCTACGGCTGTGCTGTGGGCGAGCCGAGCGCGGCGGCGGCCACTGGTACAAGGATGGTGCCCGCCTGGCTCCTGCTGGCCGCGTCCGCGGCTGGAGGGGTCGCTTGGAGATCGCCAGCTTCCTCCCCCAGGACGCCGGTCACTACTTCTGCCTGGCACGAGGCTCCTTGCTTGTCCTGTACAACCTCACCTTGGTGATGGATGGTAAGTGGGTGCCTGCCGAGGTGAAAGGGTGCCTGCACTGTGAGAAATAACAGTGGGGACTTAATCCTGGACCTCAGCGGCTTCTCTCTGTCCCCGACATAGACTCCTCAACCGCCCGTATTGGGAATGATGAGCAGACCTCCAAAGACCCCACCAATGGGCATGTGTCTCCGCTGCAAGGTCAGTATGAGTTCTCCCTGATGCATTGCTTCATCCCGGTCCGCATACCCCTATGAAACCCTAAGTGAAGGCTAGGTGGGGAGGAGGGGGTGGTCACTGAGACCTGCCGCCCTCTTTGCCCGCCAGCCCCCTACTGGACCCATCCCCAGCGCATGGAGAAGAAGCTGCACGCGGTGCCCGCCGGGAACACGGTCAAGTTCCGCTGCCCTGCAGCGGGCAACCCCACGCCCACCATCCGCTGGCTCAAGGACGGCCAGGCCTTCCACGGGGAACAGCGCATCGGAGGCATTCGGGTGAGCGTGCAAGACGGGACCACGTGGACCCCCCCACTGCGGGCCCGCAGCCCCTTGCTAGAGCACGGGAAGGCGATGCTACTGACAGCTGTGATTCTCATGGGGCTCCGCTGCGGGGGAGGGGGGCGCTCAAAGGGGCGCCCTTTGAGGGTTTTGAGGCAGCTGCAGGACCCCTAAAGAGCATGAAACTAGCGATTCAGATGAGTCCGCCTCTCCACGCTCCACGCCCCATGCCGTTTGTGCCCAAGAGGCGCCAGGGCTGGAATCAGTCTTCTTGCTGGGGGAGGGGTTATGGCCTCCTCGTGGACACGCCCGTGGGCGGGGCCTTCTTAGGACACACCCCCTCCCCCAGTTGCGCCATCAGCACTGGAGCCTGGTGATGGAAAGTGTAGTACCCTCGGACCGTGGCACCTACACCTGCCTGGTGGAGAACTCTGTGGGCAGCATCCGCTACAGCTACCTCCTGGATGTGCTGGGTGAGCGGAGAACAGGCGAAATGGGAGTGGGCTGGGGCCAGGGGGTGTGATTGTGGGGAGATCCAGGTAAATTATTCCAACTAGGGTCTACGCGATAGTACAGAAGGTAGGACATTTGCCTTCCACACGGCTGACCTGGATTCGATCCCTAGCATCCCATAGAGTCCCTTGAGCACCTCCAGGAGTGACCCCTGAGCCCAGAGCCAGGAGGAAGCCCTGAACACAGTCAGGTGTTAAAAACAAAATTTAACAGGTATTAAGGTGCTTGCTTTGCATATACTAAACCCTAATTTAATCCCTGACACCACATGCTCCCTTGAGCCCACCAGGAGTTACCCCTGAGTGTAGAGCTGGACTCTAGCACTGCTGGACATGGCCTTAGTTTCCCCCTCAGCCCCGCAACAAATGCGTGGCATTTAGGGGAAGGTGTGTGTCTGGGGTGTGGTCATAATGTGCTGAGCACACTGGAGAAAGATTTGAATGCTGAGCTGAGAAGTTGTCTGAGACCCCCCACACACCCCCAAGGGAGTCCAAGAATGGTTTAGCCCTGAGGGCCAGAAGGAATCAGACCAATGGTTCAAATCAGAAAGGAGAGATAGCACAGCGGGTAAGGTGCTTGTGTTTCACACCCTGACCCGATTTCGGTCCCAGCACCCCAGATGGATCTCCCAAGTCCCCTATGAGTGATCCCTAAGTGCAGAGTCAGGAGTAACCCCTGAGCACTCTGGATGTAGCACCAAAACAAACATCAGAGGTCCCCTGCCTGGAGCAGGGTAGAGGCCAGAGGCACGGGGTTCATTCGTGGCATTAGGGGTTCGGGGTCACTGGCCTGCTTTGACGGCCCGGCCCGGCCCCCAGAGCGGTCCCCACACCGGCCCATCCTGCAGGCCGGCCTCCCGGCCAACACCACCGCCGTGGCGGGCAGCGACGTGGAGCTCCTATGCAAAGTCTACAGCGACGCGCAGCCGCACATCCAGTGGCTGAAACACATCGTCATCAATGGCAGCAGCTTCGGGGCCGACGGGTTCCCCTATGTGCAAGTGCTGAAGGTCCCGTCCCCGCCCCACCGCCCCCTTGGAGGCGGCTGCCCGGCCCCCTGGCCCCGCGGGGAGCCCTCACCGTGCCCACTGCCCCTGCAGACGGCGGACATCAACAGCTCCGAGGTCGAGGTCCTGTACCTGCGGAATGTGTCGGCTGAGGACGCGGGCGAGTACACCTGTCTGGCCGGCAACTCCATCGGCCTCTCCTACCAGTCGGCCTGGCTCACGGTGCTGACAGGTGAGCGCGGCTGTTGGGGATGGTGGGGGGGACAGGGGGCGCCCATCCTGGGAATTCAGGATCCATAGTCTGCAGATGTGTGTTTCCAGGGCCACAGGACGATGGGTAGGGCGCTTGCTTTGTACGTGGTGGATCTGAGTTTGATCCCTGCCACCCCCTCGGGTTCCTCAAACCCCACTAGGAGGAATCCCTAAACACAGAGCCAAGAGGAAGCCCTGAGTATTGCGGGGTGGGACCCCAAAACAAACTAAAGAAAATGTGTGTGGGGTCAGGGAGATGGGACAGCGGAAAGGGCACTTGCCTTGCGTGTGACTGAGTCGCCTTCAATCCCTGACATCCATAGGGTCCCCAGAGCACTGCCAGGATTGCCCTCCTCCCCACCAAAAAAGTGTTTTCATTATGAGCTTATTTTCATGCTGGCTGTATCTGGAACCTGCCTGCCTTTCCTTCCTTCCTTCCTTCCTTCCTTCCTTCCTTCCTTCCTTCCTTCCTTCCTTCTTCCCTCCCTTCCGTTTTCAGGCAGGGAGGTGCTCAGGGGCTGCTCCCAGCTGTGCTCCGAGAACCAGAGCACATGGAATGTGAAGATGGAATTTGGGGGCCCAGCATCAGCCCCTTGTGCCCACTCTCCTTCAGCCTCATCTGCATTCTTTCTCTTCTATTCCCCTTCCCTTTGGCTTTTTGGCTTCATTTTTTTGTTGGTGTTTTTTTTTGGGGGGGGGGGGGTTGTGCACACCTAGTGATGTCCAGGATTTACTCCTGGCTCTGCACTCAGGAATCACTCCTAGAGGCTCAGGGGGCCGTATGGGGTGCTGGGGATCGAACCCAAGTCAACTGCCTGCAAGGCAAGTGCCTTACTCGCTATAGTATCTCTCCAGCCCTGATTTTTTTGGTTTCATTTTCTGTTGGTTGGTTTGGTTTAGGGGCTGTATCTGTAAGCGCACAGGGGCACTGTATATAAATGGTACCCGGGATCAGACCCGGGTGGGCTGCATGTAAGGCAATTGCTCTCATCTCTGTATTGTCTCTGCAGCTCCAAGTTTTGTTTTTGTTTTTGGGGCCATGGATCAGTGATTGAACCCCTGGTTGGGCTGCATGCACAGCAAGCACGTTTACCTCTGTATGATCTCTCCAGCCTCGAGATTTTTTTTTGGGGGGGGGGTCACCCCTGGCGATGCACAGGGGTTACTCCTGGCTCATGCACTCAGGAATTACTCCTGGCAGTGCTCAGGGGACCCTTTGGGATGCTGGGAATTGAACCCAGGTCGGCTGCTTGCAAGGCAAACACCCTACCCGCTGTATCACTCCAGCCCCATTCTGCCCCGAATTTTTAAACTTTAAGAGTCACACTGGATGGGGAGGGTGGGAGTGGTTACTCAGCTGTGTGCTGAGGATTCACTGCTCGAAGTTGTAGAGTGCTCGAACCTGACTTCTCCCTGCAAAGCACAAGCTCCAACCCTGGGAACCATTCCTGCCCCCACCTCACCTAGCCCCCCCGCCACTTCTACACCTTTTTTTGTGGGGGTGTCACACCTGGCGATACTCAGGGGTTCTTAGGTGTTACTCTTGGCTCTGCATGCAGAAATTGCTCCTAGCAGTTCTCGGGGGACCTTAGGGGATGCTGGGATCGAACCCCGGTCAGCCACATGCAAGGCAAAAGCCCTACCTGCTGTACTATGGCTCCAGCCACCACTTTCACCCTTGTGTTGTAGTTATTGTGACAACCACATACACACTAGAATGCGGATCTCTCCGCAGCTATGTTTTTAGTGATATCACTCACTGGGGTCCAGGTATCTAGACTCCCCAATGGCAGAGACCCCCAGGACCCCCATTGATGCATGGATGGCATTTTAGGATCAAACTCAAGGCCTTGTACTGGCAAGATAGATGTTTTGCTGCTGTGTCTGAAGATGCTTCTTTTACTTATTAGCACAACAGGTAAGGCGTTTGCCTTGCACACAGCCAACATGGCCAACCCGGTTCGATTCCTCTGCCCCTCTCGAGGAGCCCAGCAAGCTACCGAGAGTATCTCGCCTGCACGGCAAAGCCTGGCAAGCTTCCCACGACGTATTCAATATGCCAAACACAGTAACAAGTCTCACAATGTTACTGGGCCCGCTCAAGCAAATTGATGAACAACGGGAGGACAGTGACAATGACAGTAACAATTGTTTATTTCATTTTTATCTATTTTGCTTTTGGGGTCACCTCTAGCAATGCTAGGGGTAACTCCTGACTCTGTGCTCAGGAATTGCTCCTGACAGTGCTCAGAGGACCATATGGGATGCTGGGGATCAGCCATGTGCAAGGCAAATGTCCTACCCACTCTACTATTGCTCTGTCTTTTGTTTTTCAATTTTGTTCTTAAATTTTTAATTTTTTTTTCTGCTTTTTTTTTTTTTCTGCTTTTTTGGGTCACACCCGGCGATGCTCAGAGGTTACTCCTGGCTCTGCACTCAAGAATTATTCTTGGAGGTGCTCAGGGGGACTCTATGGGATGCCAGGGATTGAACCCGGGTTGGCCACATGCAAAGCCAACGCCCTCCCTGCTGTGCTATTGCTCCAGCCCCAACTTTCTAAATTTAAAAAAATTTTGTTGAGCTAGCATGGGAGAGGTTGGGAGAGAGGTGTTTGTCTTTCCCATGGCCTACTTGGGTTCAATTCCAGCACCACCCCTGAGTACTACCTGGGCAGGGGTCACCCCTGACTACAGAGCCAGGAGAGAAGTAAACCCTGTGAACTGCCAGGTGTGACCCCCAAATCTAAAGGGAAAAATAAATGCATCGTCACTGAAGCCAGAAGTTGACACTAATGTTAACCAGTTGAGGGTTTGCTTATCTGTAGCTTTTTTTTGGGTGGGGGTCACACACACCCGGCGATGCACAGGGGTTACTCCTGGCTCTGCACTCAGGAATTACTCCTGGCAGTGCTCAGGGGACCATATGGGATGCTGGGAATCGAACCCGGGTCGGCTGTGTGCAAGGCAAATGCCCTACCCGCTGTGCTATCGCTCCAGCCCCCTTTATCTGTAGCTTTTTTTTTATAGGGGTGGGTTTTCCTGTGTGTGATGGGAGTTGGGGGGGCTGTCAGTCACTGCATGTCATCTGTGGGCAGAGGAGGAGGTGGCGTGGACAGCAGCGGCGCCCGAGGTGAAGTACACAGACGTTATCCTCTACGTGCTCGGCTCGCTGGCCCTGGTGGTGCTCCTGGTGCTGGTTGGGCTGTACCGCGGCCAGGTGCTCCGCAGCCGCCACCCCCGGCAGCCCCCCACTGTGCAGAAGCTGTCCCGCTTCCCCCTAGCCCGACAGGTACGTGCTCATCCCAGCATCTCTGCCCCAGAGCATTCAGCCGGGAGCACTGATGGCCGGGACCATCAATACCAAGGAGCACTGGTGGTCGGGAATATCAATAATTGAGAGCATCATCAATGTCTGGTGATCAAGAGCATCAGTGCCCGAGAACATCGATACTCGGGAGCATTGATGCCCAAGAGTATATTAATAATCGAGAGCATTGATGCTCAGGAGCACTGATGGCTGAGAGCATTAGTGCCTGAGAGTAGCAATAACCTTGAACATCAGTACCTGGGAGCATTGCTGTCCCAGAGCCTTGAAACCCAGGAGTATCAATAATTGAGAGCATTGATGCTCAAAAGCATCCATACTTTAGAGTAACAATCACCATGCCCCAGAACATCAGTACCAAGAGCATCAGTACCTGGGAGCATCAGTATGCCAGAGCATTGATACTCTAGGAGTATCAATAATCAAGAGCATCAATGCCCCTAGAACATCTGTACGGATACCCAAGTACTGGTACCCGAGAGTACCAATACCCAAGTAGCAATAATTTAGAGCAATGAAGACTGAGAGCATTAGTACCCAAGCACATCAATAGTCCCATCTCCTGCCCTGCAGTTCTCACTGGAGTCCGGCTCCTCAGCCAAGTCCAGCTTGTCCCTGGTGCGGGGCGTCCGGCTGTCGTCCAGTGGCCCCCCGCTGCTGGCGGGCCTCGTGAGTGTGGACCTGCCCCTGGACCCGCAGTGGGAGTTCCCGCGGGACAGGTAGGCAGGGAGCACCCTGAGGTAGGGGGGTGGGGGCGTACGGGCACCTGAGCCGCTTTCCCGCCCCTGTAGGCTGGTGCTGGGCAAGCCCCTCGGCGAGGGCTGCTTCGGGCAGGTGGTGTGCGCCGAGGCCGTGGGCATGGACCCCGCGCGACCCGACCAAGCCAGCACCGTGGCCGTGAAGATGCTCAAGGGTGAGTGGGGGCCCCTGGTGTTGGGGGTTGGGGGCTCTTGGCTCTGCCTGCTGGGCACTGGAGGAACAGGAAGGACAATGGCCTCCCCCGCTCTCTGCCCAGACGCTACTGCGTCTCCTTGTGGGAGCCATGAGACCCCATTTTCCAAGCCTGTGGCCCACACTGAGAATCTTCCTCATGCTGGACGCGATGTGTCCATGAGAACTGGGGTGTCGTCACCCCTGACCCCAAACAACCAGCTTAGCCTCACAGACCCTGCGTCTCCCCTTTCAGCCCCCACAAGTCTACCGAAAGGCCCCTTCTCCCCCCATTCTGGCTTCCAGTCCCTCATTCTAGAACATTCTTTTGGCCCAGAGGCATTCTTATCTCTGAGCTGCAGCCCCGGGGGCTCAGAATGCCCTGGAGCCTCCATCCTGTCCCTTTCTGGGGACACCCAGGTCCCCCCCCACCCCCGCTACGAGGAGCCAAACCTGAGTTCTGCCCCCTCCATCCGCTCAGCACAGCTGGACCCACCTGGCATTTTCTGGGAGGCCCGATTGAGAAATGTGCGTGGGGTGGGGGGCGGAGTGTCCTGGCCACATGCCACAGGTCAGCGGGTGGTGGGGGTGATGGGGGCCGGCAGGGCCGTCTCAGATCCTCAGCCTTTCACTCTCTCCCCTCTCTCTGAGGTTTTGGGTTGTTTATGTCTTTTGCTTGTTTTTTCTTTTATGGGGTTTGGGGTTTGGTTTGATTTTGGGGGCCACACACAGCAGTGCTCAGGGGTCATTCCTGACTCTGCACTCAGAGTTCACTCCTGGTGGGGGCTTGGGGGACCCTATGGAATGCTGGGGATCAAATCCAATGGGCCGTGTGCAAGGCAAGTAACCCTCCCTGCTTTATTATCGGTCCCATTTTTATTTTGTTTTGTTTTTGCTTTTTTGGTTTGGGGGTCATACCTGGTGGTGGTTTGGGGTACTCCCAGCTCAGTGCTTGGGGAACTACACCAAGCCAGGGTTTGCACCCCGACTTCCCACACGCAGACAGGTGCTCCAGCCAGCCCTGAGAGTCTTCTCCCCAGCCCTGCTTCTCAGCCGTTTTGTTCATTTTAATTAGTCTTTTGTTTTGTTTCTGGGTCACACCTGGCAATGCTCAGGGCTTACTCCTGGCTCTACAGGATCAATCCTGGTGGTGTTTGGGGGACCCTAGGGGACGCCAGGGATCGAACCTGGCGATCAGCCATGTACAAGACAAACTCCCTCCCCCACTGCCCTATCATCCTCTCATCAGGCCCCAGTTCTCGGCCTTTTAAAGAGACACGGCAGCACTTCCTTCCTCCCAGCCTCCCTGAGCGCACTTCACTGGCAGGCCCCTAAATTCCCAGACCCAGGGGAAGGCCAAGCCTGGCCAAATAGATTTCAGGGCAGCCGCCAGCCTGCTTGCTGTGCTGAGGACGAGCGCCAAGCTGCCTCTTCTTCATTCTCTTCTGCCTCTATTGCTTTACTGTTGTTTGTTTGTGGGGCAGTGCTCAGGGGACCCTGCGGTGCCAGGGACCGAACCCAGGGCTCCCCCCGTCCCGCTCTCTCCCCGGCCACTCATGCTGCTCCCCGCCACCCTTAGATCTCTTTGTGGGGCCCAAAGAGAGTATAGTGAGTAGGGCTCTTGCCTTGCAGGCAGTCAACCCTGGTTCAATCCCTGGCACCCTATAGAGTCCCCCAAAACCTGTGCCCCTTTGGGCTGGAGTGATAGCACAGCAGGTAGGGCATTTGCCTTGCATGCAGCCGACCCGGGTTTGATCCCCGGTGTCTCATAGGGTTCCCAGAGCACCGCCAGGAGTAATTCCTGAGTGCAGAGCCAGGAGTAACCCCTGGGCATCGCTGGGTATAACCCAAAAAGGGAAAAAAAAAAGCCTGTGCCCTGAGTACAGCCAGGTATAGGCCCTCCCCCCACCAAAAAAAAAAAAGAGAGAAAAACAGATCTTGGGCCAGAGTGATAGTACAGTGGGGAGGGCGCTTGCCTGGCATGTGGCCTACCTGGGTTCCATCTCAGCATCCCATAGGGTTCACCAAGAACAGCCAAACAGCCAGGAATGATTCCTGAGGACACAGCCAGGAGTAACCCCTGAGCATCACCAGGTGTGGCCAAAAAGCCAAAACCAAACAACAACCACCACCACCACCAAAAAACCCAGATCTACTGTGTTCTTCTTTATTTTTCTTTTCCTTTTTTGGTCACACCCAGCGATGCACAGGGGTTACTCCTGGCTCATTCATGCTCTCAGGAATTACTCCTGGCAGTGCTCAGGGACCATATGGGATGCTGGGAATCGAACCCGGGTCGGCCGCGTGCAAGACAAACACCCTACCCACTGTGCTATCGCTCCAGACCCTCTTATTGTGTCTTGGCAGTGTTGAGAATTAAGGCATGACCCTTTAGAAAATAAGGATTGAGCTGCTGTTATTTCAGAGGCTCTGGCCGTTCAGAGAGGTTAGGGCGGTTTCTCAAGGCCGCACAGCAGGAAAGCCCAGGCCCCAACTGACCAAACTCTGGGTCCCCCTCTTGTCCCCTACCCTGCAACTTCACCCAGGTGGTGTGCCCCCCTCAAAATATGCCCCCTCCCACCTTCTGCCCCACCAGACAATGCCTCCGACAAGGACCTGGCTGACTTGGTCTCTGAGATGGAGGTGATGAAGTTCATTGGCCGGCACAAGAATATCATCAACTTACTGGGCGTCTGCACCCAGGAAGGTAGGGCCGGGTGGAGACAGGATGAGGGGGTGGGGGGGTGTTGGGGATGCAGGTCCGCAGCTCCTGCTGTCTCCCACGCCCCCCGGTGTTCCCAGGACCCCTGTACGTGATCGTGGAATGCGCGGCCAAGGGAAACCTCCGGGAGTTCCTGCGTGCCCGCCGCCCACCGGGCCCGGACCTCAGCCCCGAGGGGCCCCGCAGCACGGAGGCACCACTGTCCTTCCCCACCCTGGTCTCCTGCGCCTACCAGGTGGCCCGCGGCATGCAGTACCTGGAGTCTCGAAAGGTAGAGACCGAGGTGGTGGCCTGTGTTCTAGAAACCTCTGCAGCTGCCTCTCCATTCTTATGTGGCATGGAACTTGCCCCCTGGCTCTGGTCCATGCCAGCCCTGACCCACCCTAAGGGCGTGAGGGGGTGGGTGTGCAGTGAGGATGGGTGGGCAGCACGTGAGTGACATCATCTGTGAAATGGGTCAGTGAGCTCCGAGAGGCCTCAGAGCTCGAGTGTCGATAGGACAGCAGAGACAGCACTGGCCTGGCACACGGCCAACCATCCCCAGGCACCCTAGAGGGTCCTCTGAGCATGCCCAGGAGGAAGCCCTGAGCACTGTCACCCAAATAGGGGCTGGAGTGATAGTGCAGCGGGTAGGGTGTTTGCCATGCATGCAGCTGACCCGAGTTCGATTCCCAGCATCCCATATGTGGTCCCCCGAGCACCGCCAGGAGTAATTCCTGAGTGCAAAGCCAGGAATAAACCCTGATCACCAGTGTGACACCCCTCCTGAAAAAAAAAATGGTTGGGGACACTAGAGAGATAGTACAGAGGTTCAGGTGCTTGCTGTACATCTCCCAACCCGGGTTCGAGCCTTGGCACTGCTTGGTCCCCTGAACCCTCCCAGGAGTCATCCCTGAGCACTGCAGGTGTGGCCCAAACTCCCTCCCCCTAAAATATTGGATGAATGATAGGATCAGAAAAATAGCTCAGGGGCCAGAGCAATAGTACAACGGGGAGGGCATTTGCCTTGCTATGCGGCCGACCGGGGTTTGATCCCTGGCATCCCATAGGGTCCCCCAAGCCCCACCAGGCGTAATTTTTTTTTTTTTTGCTTTTTGGGTCACACCTGGCGATGTACAGGGGTTACTCCTGGCTCTGCATTTGGGAGTTACTCCTGGCGGTGCTCAGGGGACCATATGGGATGCTGGGAATCAAACTCAGGTCAGCCGTGTGCAAGGCAAACGCCCTACACGCTGTGCTATCGCTCCAGCCCCACCAGGCATAATTCTTGAGTGTAGAGCCAGGCGTAACTCAAGCTTCGCTTTGACACCCCCCCAAAAAAAACCCCCAGAAAATGTTAAGGAGGTTAGAGCAATAATACAGTAGGTAGGGCATTTGCCTTGCATGCGACTGACTCGGGTTCGATCCCCAGCATCCTTGAGTACCGCTAGGGGTAATTCCTGAATACAGAGCCAGGAGTAACCCCTGAGCATTGCTGGATGTGATTCAAAAAGCTAAAAAAAAAATAAAAGGCTCTGGAATACATGCTGACATGCAGAAGGACTCAAGTTTGACCCCGGGTCCCTGAGCCCCACTGAGTATAGCCTTGCCTGTCCCCAGTGTTGCTGGATCTGAATGTGGAGTCCCTGTCAGGCCCCATATGGTGGAGAATCGCCTGGAGGGCAAGTGAGCCCTCCTCCCTTGAGCATTCCTTGGGGGTAAAAATAATCCTCCTCCCAGTTATTTTTAGACCAAATCTTTCCCTTCTGCTAGAAGCTGCTAAGAATTAGACCCTCCAGCACCGTAAATATGGTACAGCAGAGAAGGCTCTTGTCTTGCATGTGTCCGGCCCAGGTTCGATTCCTCGTATCCCATATGGTTCCTGAGCACTGCCAGCTGTGGCCCAAAACCAAAACAAGACAAAAAAAATAAATAAATAAACTGGGGCACAGCAGGTAGAGCATTTGCCTTGCACGCGGCCGACCTGGGTTCGATTCCCAGCATCCCATATGGTCCCTTGAGCACCGCCAGGAGTAATTCCTGAGTGCAGAGCCAGGAGTAACCCCTGTGCATTGTCAGGTGTGACCCCCCCCAAAAAAAAAAAAGAAACTCTGGAAGAGCCGAATATAATGCTGGGGAGGGCGCTTGCCTTGCATGTTCAATTTCCAGCATCCCAAAATGTGCCCCCAAAGCCTCCCACCCTGATCGCAGAGCCAGGAAGAAGCTGGGTGTGACCCAAAAACCCAAAGGAAATATAAAGAAACATCGATCTAGGCCGGTATGATAGATAGTACAGTGGGGCGTGCCTTGCACACAGCCGACCTGGGTTCCATCCCCGACATCCCATAGGGTCTTCTGAGCCCCTCCAGGAGTGATCCCTGAGTGCAGAGCCAGGAGGCAGTCCTGAGCACTGCTGGGTGTGGCCAAAATGAAAGAGGAGGGGGGGAGGGGGGTGGGACTAGAGTGACAGCATGACAGGGTGGAGCGGGCAGGCGGGAAACCCCGAGTTGGATCCTCATCCTCACCGTCCAGAAGCCCACACAGCTAGCAGAGGGGCCTGTGGGACCCCTGAGCGCTGCTCCAAGCTCCAGAACCAGGGAGTGGCGGGGGCCAGAGCTATAGCCAGTGGGGAGGGCGTTTGCCTTGCTCTTGGGCCCACCGGGGGCTCATTTGCATCCCATGCGGTGAGCACCGCCAGGATCAAGGATCCCTGCGCACCCCTAAGAGACGGGAGGTGGTCAGCGCCCCGCCCCCAGTCCCTCCCCCTCTCCCGCCCCGCAGTGCATCCACCGGGACCTGGCGGCCCGCAACGTGCTGGTGACCGAGGACAATGTGATGAAGATCGCGGACTTCGGGCTGGCGCGGGGCGTCCACCACATCGACTACTACAAGAAAACCAGCAACGTGAGGGGCCGGGCAGAGCTGGGGGTGGGGGGCAGGGGCAGGCAGCAGGACTGGGGGCTCGCCACCCACAGCCCGGTCCCCTCCGTCCAGGGCCGCCTGCCTGTCAAGTGGATGGCCCCCGAGGCCTTGTTCGACCGTGTGTACACGCACCAGAGTGACGTGTGAGTCCTGGGAGTGGGGATCGGTGGGGTGGGGGGGCTGACCACCATGGGGTTCATCGAACCAGAGGGGCTGGAGTGATATAGGACAGCGGGGAGGGCGTTTGCCTCTCAAGCCGTCAATCCGGGTTCGATCCCCGGCATCCCCTAGGGTCCCCTGAGCACAGAGCCAGGAGTCTGCCCTGAGCATCTTTGGGTGTGACCCTTCAAAGTGAGAGAGGACAGAGAGACAGGACAGGGGTCAGATGTCCTTGTATTCTGCTGACCTCTTTTTCAAGTCCTTAGCACCTCTTGGGCCCCCAAGCCCCGGCTGGAGTGATTCCTGGACACAGAGCCAGGAGGAGCCCCTGAGCACAGCTGGGGGTGGCCCCCTCAGTAGAAAAGATATTCCTGGTGGCCAGAGCAAAAGTACAATGACTAAGGCACTTGTCTTGCACGTGGCTGACCCAGGTTCGATCCCTGGGTCAGCCACACACCATTTGGTCCCCTGAGCACTACCAGGCGTGATCCCCGAGTGCAGAGCCAGGAGTGAGCATAGTTGGGTGTGCCCCCACCAAAAAAAATAATAAAAGATATTCCTGGATTTGTGCAGACTTAGGACCAGGCAAGAACTCAACAAATAGAGCACAGACTGTGCATGTGGGACACCTGGGTTCAATTCCCAGCATGGCATGGTTGAGCACTAAGCTGGGAGTAGTCCACAGCCTGGCCAGATGCGGTCCCCAAATTAAAACAAAACTGGGGCTAGAGAGATAGGATAGCGGGTAGGGCAGGTGCTTGCCCAGGGCCAGGAGGTGGCTCTAAGGGCTGGAGCGCAGGCTCTTTGCATGGGGGAGCCCTGGGCTTCGGACTCAGCACCACATGGTTCCCAAGCACGGAGTCAGGATCGTCCTGTAGCACTGATGTGTGTGGCCCCTTCTCCCCACAACAGCATATCAAACACAGCATGTGTTCTGCATCACACACAACTCACAGTCGCATGCTCCAACATGCACATACCATTCCACCCCTGGACACTGTCACACAGTTGAACATACAATCACTTGCTTGAACATACAGTTCCATGGTTGAACATAGTCACACAAACATACACAGTCCCACGTATACAGTCACATACTCAAGCATATAGTCCCACGCTTGAACATACAGTCACATGCTTGAACATACACAGCCACATGCTCAGACACAGTCCCATGCATGGACATAGAGCCACACGCTCGAACATAACGATCACATGCTCTCACACAGTCACACGCTTAAACCTACATAGTCATGCTCAGGCATACACAACCACATTTGCACATACACAGCCAAGCTCAAACGCACAGTCACACGCGCCAACATACACAGCGCCACACTCAAACATACAGTCTTACCCTTGACCACACACAGCCACATGCTCGAACACAATCACACTGCTCGAACACGTAGTCATGCTCAAACAAACACAGTCCCACTCGAGCGCACACACATTCCAACACCGAGTCCCACTCGGACACACACACACAAAGCCCCAAGCCACGCTGGGCCGTGACCCTCTGCGGCGCCCCCTGCAGGTGGTCGTTCGGGATCCTGCTGTGGGAGATCTTCACCCTCGGGGGCGCCCCGTACCCCGGCATCCCGGTGGAGGAGCTCTTCTCGCTGCTGCGGGAGGGGCACCGCATGGACCGGCCCCCCAACTGCCCTCCGGAGCTGTGAGCCGCTGCCCCCACTTCCACCCAGACCTTGGCCCGCGGGAGGGCTGGGAGGGTCCCCAGGGGCCCCCCCCCCCGGGGCGCAGTCTGGGGGGGATCCTAATGCCTGCCCCTCCCCTAGCTATGGGCTGATGCGTGAGTGCTGGCACGCGGCCCCTTCGCAGAGACCCACCTTCAAACAGCTGGTGGAGACGCTGGACAAGGTGCTGCTGGCCGTGTCCGAGGAGGTACAGTTCCCGCCTCCCGGGCAGGGCCGCCCCCTCCAGGCAGACCTCCCGGGTTGACCGTCCCTCTGTTCTCTGCAGTACCTGGACCTCCGCCTGACCTTTGGCCCCTACTCCCCCACCGCCAGCACAGAGACCACAAGCAGCTGCTCCTCCAGCGACTCCGTGTTCAGCCACGACCCCCTGCCACGGACGCCCCCTTCCTTCCCTTACCCCCCAGTGCAGACCTGAGCAGCCAGCCGCCTGCTGACCATGACCTTGGCCTTCCCTGGCTGGCCTCAGGCCTTGCCCTCAGGGTGCTGGTGGGTTCCACTTGGCCCTTGACCTTGGTGGCAGGGAGCCCGTGGCGGAAAGGGTCAGGCTCCCGCTCATCTTTCTGCACCTCGGCCCACGTGGCCTTGCTCCCGGGGACGGACAACCGGCAGGTCCTCCCTGTGTTGGGGTCGGGAGCCCCAGAAGCCCCTTCCCCAGGCTCCCTTCTTCCCCATTTCCCCACCACCACCACCACCTCTCGGTGGAAAGGAGCAACCGCCCCCCTCCAAACCTGGCGCTGAGGGGCCTGAAACAAATGCAAGAGGGCCTTCTATAAATTATTATTATTTTTGGAAATAAATTTCTGTGTGCCTGGAGTCGTCTCTGCAACCGGTGAAGGTGGGGGAGGAGGGAGGACGACCCCCAACTCCATCCCCCTATGGTTCTCTCCGAGTGACTGAAATCTCTGCGGGCTCCGCTCTGTGTCCAGCCGCCCGCAGCCCGCGTCCCATCTTGTCTAGCTTGTCCCATCTTGCGTCTGTCTGCCCGCCCCATCCTTTTTTGTGTGTGTGTGCATTTTCCACCATTTACTCTTGTTATCAAAAATAATTCAACTCTTCTTGCAAAACAAACAAAAAAAATAGTGCATACTGGATACATACATCACATTTTTCTTCCTATGGCTTTAGCCCACCCCCACCCCACCAAAAAGACACACACACAAAAAAAGGCCCAACAACAAAAACAACTCTACCTGACCACATCCACAGAAAATGACACCAGGATACACTACAAAACAGAAGGAGGTGTCATCTGCTCTGTGTCTGCCCCATCTTTTTTGTTTTGTTTTTTGGAGCCGGGGTACGCCGCCCGGCGGTGCTCAGGGCTTCCTCCTGGCTCTGCACTCAGGGATGGCTCCTGGCAGAGTCCGGGGGACCCTAAGGGATGTGGGGGGATTGAGCCCCTGTTGGCCTCGTGCAAAGCAGACACCTTCCCCACTGAACTCTCTCTGGCCCCATGTCAGCCCCTTTTTATTTTATTTTTTTATTTGTTTTGCTTTTTGGGTCACACCCAGCGATGCTCAGGGGTTACACCTGGCTCTGCACTCAGGAATTAACTCCTGGCAGTGCTCGGGGGACCCTATGGGATGCCGGGGATTGAACCCAGGTTGGCCGCATGCAAGGCAAACGCCCTTTCCCACTGGGCTAGGGCTCCAGCCCTTGTCGGCCCTTTTGATGCATCCGACGCCCCAGCCTGGGCGTGTGGGCTCTGAGCTACTGCCCAGATGCGTCCACGCGGCACCCTCAGCCCACTGCATCGCTCATGCATGTCCAAGCCTCGGGACAGCCGCTCTCCCTCCCCCACCCTCTGCCCCGCGCCCCCTCCCGCGGCTCCCACGGCTGCCAAGTGGGCAGCGCCCGGCCCGCAGCTGCTGAGCATTAAGTGAGCTGACCGTTAACACAGCGTGAAACCCCAAAACTCAGCCCGGAGGCAGCAGCCCGCTCCCACGCTCTGCCTCCCCAGCCGGGGGTCCAAGGGGGGAGCACTGTGTGCCCGCCCCACCCTGGCCAGTGTCCCAGGCAGCAGCTGGTGGCCGCCCGGCTGTGCCGCAGCTGTCCCCGCCTGCCCGGGCCTCTCCCCTGGGACGCGGGCCGGGCCTTGTTCTCAGACGCCCTCTTTGGGGGCGGAAGGAGGCCGGGGAAGGGGAGGTGCGAGGGGGGGCCCACCAGAGGGATCCATTTTCAGGGCTCTGAGCCCGGATGCATCCCCCGTGGCGCTGCCCTCCTGCCTCTGCTTTGTGGGGACCCCTAGGACGGCCCCTCTGAGCCTCCCCTAGAAAGGGATGGAAATAAAGAGAGGAGACGTGAGAATTGGGAGTTGGGGGCCAGGCAGATGGCACGGGGTACAGGTACATACATACCATGTCCTTGGCTAAACCGGGTTCAATCCCCGGCCACCCCATAGGGTCCCCCAAGCACCGCCAGGAGTAACTCCTGAGTGCTGAGCCAGGAGGAACCCTTGAGCATTGCTGGGTGTGTCCCAGAAAGCAAAACCCTGTGGGTGGGTCAAGCTCCCTTCTCAAAAAAAAAATTGGGGACACTTCTTATCCCCGATGCCCAAACTCGGCTTTTCACCCCCAAACTGCACCTCCTCTGGGTCATCTCCCATCCCTGAGTCCGGAAGAGGGGAGGGGGTAGCTCAGGAGGCTGGAGGGTCAAATCCTGCTGGTTCAGGGGCTGGAGAGGGAGGGTGAGTGTGCTGGGTGTGACCCCAAACCAGACAAGCACTGTAGCACTGTAGCATCCTGTTGTTCATCAATTTGCTCGAGTGGACGCCAGTAACATCTCCATCGTGAGGCTTGTTACTGTGTTTGGCATAGCAAATATGCCACGGGGAGCTTGCCAGGCTCTGCCGTGCGGGCAGGATATGCTCTCGGTAGCTTGCCGGGCTCTCCAAGAGGGGTGGAGGAATTGAACCCGGGTCGGCCGCATGCAAGGCAAACACCCTACCCGTTGTGCTATATAAAAATTGTATTCCAAGGAGGCTGGTGAGGGGCTGGAGCGATAGCACAGCGGGTAGGGCATTTGCCTTGCACGTAGCTGACCTGGGTTCAATTCCCAGCATCCCCTGAGCACTGCCAGGAGTAATTTCTGAGTGCAGAGCCAGGAGGAACCCCTGTGCATCACCGGGTGTGACCCAAAAGGCAAAAATAAATAAATAAATAAATAAATAAAAGGAGGCTGGTGAGAGAATGGAAGGTCATGAGCAGTTTCCATGCAGGAGGCCCAGAATCCATCACCGGTCCCCCAAGCATTGGGGGATGTGACCCCCAAATCAAAAACAAAAGCCAGGGCACATATGCTGCCAGAGGCCATGTGCTGCTTGTGCCCACGTGGCCGAGCACTTGTGGCACCCGCATCTCCCCTCTGGGGATGGGGACTTTTTCTGCTTCCATATGTGACCCTGGGGTGTGTGGAGGGGGTCTCTCTGCCCTCGGGGAAGCCCGCGCTCTCTCCCTTGAGTGCATTTCTCTCTGTTACTTTCTTCTCTCCCTCCTTCCCTTTCCTAAAAACCTCCAAATCAAATCGGTTTTACTTTAAAAAAAAAAAAGAAAGAAAGAAAAAGTTGAGACTCACGAGAGAGTATAGCAGGGAGGGTGCTGGCCTTGCATTTGGCCCACCCGGGTTCGATCTCCGACATCCCATAGGGTCCCCCGAGCACCGCTAGGAGTGGTTCCTGGGTGTAAGGTCAGGAGTCAGCCCTGAGCAGCGCCGGTTGTGGCCCAAAAACTATTTACAAAATTCCCACCTACCCCCAGTCCCTGCTTGTCACTCTCTGCTTTTCATCCGAGTGCCACACAGGAAGCTGCCGTTTGAACCATTGCTGGGCCCCACGTGTCCTCCTGGCCACTTGATCCCCTGCAGGTGACTCCTCCAGAAACACTTTTTCCAAAATGCTTTTCTTTCTTTTGGGAAGATTAGTGCTCAGGGGCTACTCCCAGCTCTGTGCTCAGGGATCCTGGCAGTGCTCAAGGGATCCTATGGGAGGCCGGGAATTGTCTCGGATCACCTTTGTGCCAGGCAAGTGCCCTTCCCGCGGTATTATCTGTCAGGTGTGGCCCAAACCAACTACCTTCCCCCCAAGTCCCCCCAAATAAACTGCTTTCTGTTTATATATTTTTTGGTTTGTTTGGGGGGGTCACATCTGGCGATGTTCAGGGGTTAACTTGCGGCTCTGGGCTCAGGAAACACTCCTGGTGGTGCTTGGGGGACCCTATGGGATGACGGGGCTCGAACCCGGGTCGTCCACGTGCAAGGCCAGCACCCTCCTCACTGGACTATCTCTCTGGCTCCAATGCTGTCTATGTATTGATAGGGTGACGGTCCCTGGCTCCCAGGAGGGACCAGAAAGAAGCTGAGTCCTGTCACACAGCTAGAGCTGGGTCAGGTCACTGGGAGAGACAGGAACAGCTGCTGCTGAGTTGGTCCTGCCCCCCAACAACGCTCGTGCCTGCCCCCCCCAGCCCAGCTACCCACCCTGCACCCACTCTGTCTGCGTTGCTGGCAGCCTCCCACCCTCTGGGGTTCCTGCAAATTCCTGAAGTCCCATGTCAGCGAGAGACAGATGCTGCTAATCCTCCTCCCCTCCCTCTCACCCCTTGCAGGCCTGGCTGTGCCTTCTCCCGGCACGCCCCCCCCCCCATTTACCCAGCGGGAAGCCACCACTGAAACCTGCCTCTCTGGGTTGGTGTCCTGCTTGGATTTGGAGGCCACACCCAGCGGTGCTCAAGGCTGACTCCTGGAACCACTCCTGGTGGTGCTGGGGGTGGGGGGACCCTATGAGGTGCTGGGGATGAAACCCAAGTCCACCGGGTGCCAGGCAAGTGCCCTCCCTGCCGTCCTAGTCCTGCCGCTCTGGCTCCAACCAGGTTTTGAGCATTTTTCAATAAGACCATTCTGAGCTGAGACTAGAGTCATAGGACCGTGGGAAGGGCACACGACTGACCCGGGTTCAGTGCCTGGCACCCCAGACGGTGTCCCGAGCCCCACCAGGAGCGATCCCTGAGTTCAGAGCCAAGAGTCAGCCCTGAGCACCACCAGGTGCCGCAAACAAAACAAAACCCAAATGAGCATCTCCGAGACGGATCCATTGCATGGACCAGCTGGGCCTCCAGCAGCTGTCCTGGGGCAGGGCCTGGGGGGCTGGCCCACCCCTCCTGCTGGGGGCAGGGCTGCCCATGAGCTCATTCCCTCCTGCTGGGACACTGCTTTTGTCCCCAGTGCCCGAATGAGGACACCAAGGTTCACACGGAGCCAAGGACTGGTCAAGGTGACCAAGGGGCAGAAAAGTGAGTGGAACTTTGCCCCCCTCCCCCCGCCAGGCCACACAACTGAGTGCAGAACCAGGAGTAACCCCTGAACACTGCTAGGTATAGCCCCTCACCCTCACACATATACACGAACACACACACATACATCTATATCCGCACACACCTCCAGGAACCGGAGCAATCGTACAGTGAGGAGGGCTCTCGCTTTGCACAAGGCCAACCCAAGTTCGATCCTTGGCACCCCATAGGGTCCCACGAGCAGCTCTAGGAGTAATTCCTGAGCGCAGAGTCAGGAGTAACCCCTGAGCA